GTTTGCCGACCACTGCCTTAGGAAAACCTGGTACTAAGTGGTGATAAGACAGCCCAGGTACCAGACCCAGCGCTCAAAATCAGGTGGCTGAGTTCCCAAATTAAGTGTCCCCCTACATCATTGAAATGGCACAAGCCAAGACGAAGTGAGAACCCATGTAGAGGTGACTCCAGCTGAAGGGAACCAGAGACGGGATGGTGTGTGTGTGTGGAGTGGAGGGGGGAGAGGGTGGGGAATTGGGGGTGGGGGGGAGAGAAGAGGGTGGGAGGATATAAGGAGCCAGGCTGTTGCCCTGTTTTGTTCCATAGGTCTTTCTACTATGTATGCAATAACGTTAAAAATCGCGACTTTTTCTTCTTGTGCAACTCACTTCCAAGTGTCTATGTGTGTATCAGACTCAAAGTCAACGTCTGCATTTTTTCTTTTGTTTCAGGAAAAGAAAACCTAACCTGCCTGCACATCCCACCGGGTGGCTAGAGAGGCTGGACTAGGCAGGGCGTCAGGGCAGAGGGCGCGAGAGCTAGAATTCTCTTCCCGCCCTCTCCTGCCCCCTTTCTGCTGGGCCCCCCACCGGGCACTTTGATTTTCAGACATTTTCACCCAGGCAGCAAACCCCTCCCACCCAATCCCCTCAATGGCCGATAGAGGGCAGACTTCCACCAGAAGTATATTCTAGTTCCCTTTCCCACCTGTGGGATTCTTTTGTGTTCTGGTTTTTGTTTTGTTGTGTTGCTGTTACTGTTTGTGGAGGGTTTTTTTTTTTTTTTTTTTCTGTGTGTGTTCTGTGTTTGTTTGCTGTTTGTTTCTTTTTTTTTTTTCAGTGTTTTAGACTCCCTCTTGCCCCAACCATCCTTTCAAGTGTTTATTTTAGAGGCAATTACTGAAACCATGAGACCAGGGCACAGACAAGCGTGTTGAAATATCTTTTGGTCTGTCATCTTCCCTCTCTCCATTTTCCGACTCATCCACGCAGGCATGCATTCATTCTTACACATTAGGACCCCATCTGAGGAGCTGCCAATCTAATAGGATTCCAAGCTATGTACAGAACAATTTGTAATACAACATAAATGCTACACACAGAGGTCCTTGCAAAATGCTATAGAATATCAGGGGAAAAGCTTCAGACGCTTCCCAGAGGAGGGGCATTGAATCATGTTTCACGTATGACTCTAACGCTCGTATTTGTGCATACTTTTCAGGGTCTATGCAACCCCTCTCAGTCTGCTTTCTCCTTTGACTCCCCCAATGGCACCACGCTGGGACCGCCCAATGTCTCTTCTGTATCCTCCGTCTAATCTCTAAAGATGAGGAACTCCTGTGTTTGGGCATCCGTTGCATTGCCTGGGCTTCTGGGAGACACAGCTGTTTCGTAACTGAGCTCCTAGCTCACACTCTGGTTTCCAGAAGTTGCCAGGCCCCTGCAGGTGTATTTGCCACTTGTTATTAGGCTTCCAGTCATTACCCTGCTTTCTCCTTTGCTTCTCTGACTTATTCTCTGGCAAAGGATTGCCTGTACCTTGAGTCTTTTGAGCTGATGCATCCACCTTAGGTTTTAAGACTTTCTCCAGTGTTAAGTCTGGCTTGAAGTCCCGTAAGAAATCAACCTGTATCTGTACCTTCCAGGTTGTCCTACCTCTGGGAATGCTAAGAAGGATGGATGGGGACCTCCATAGAGTCCCTTGCCTGTGTTCAATCTCTAGCTTTCCCTAACCCTTAATATATTGCCAAACAAACAAATAAACAAACAAAAACCATGGCCGAAACTGGTTTGGCTCAGTGGATGGAGCATCGGCCTGTGGACTGAGCTCCAGGTTTGATTCCAGTCAAGGGCATGTGCCTTGGTTGTGGGCACATCCCCAGTGGGAGGTGTGTAGGAGGCACCTGATCCATGATTCTTTCTCATCGATGTTCCTAACTCTCTAACCCTCTCTCTTCCTCTCTGTGAAAAATCAATAAAATATATATATTTAAAAACCCACGAATAAAAAACAAGACTCTGACAAAGATTATTACTCCCCCCCCCCTTTTTTTTTTTTTTTTTGTCAAAGGAAAGTGATTTTCTTTTTGTGCATTTCCCCCCATCACCTGACCTTGGCTTTTCCTGTTGAGCCCTACAATGCTATCTGCTGTGTTTTAAAAAATGCCTCTACGCTTCCATTTGAACAGAAATACAGATAACCTCCTCTGCTAGAGTGGAAAGAGCCTTTTAACACAGCATAATGATGACAGTTTGTTGGCAAGTCCCACGTGAAGCACTGCTGCCTAGTTGGGGTATAAGAAACAGCCATATTTCACAGGGCCTGTGGCTAAATTTCTCCTTGAATGTTGCCACTAGAAACTCTAGCATATTTTAAATGACTTTTATCACTTAGCAGTTACAATCTTAGAACCTTAGGGTACGAGGTCCTTCGGAGGTCATTTAAGCAGACCTACACACTTGCAGGAATTGTCACTACAATATCCTTGGAAACTAGTCACCTCCCAACAGCTCTACAAGTTTACCTTCCAGGAAATGGGACTCTCGCTTCCCCTTTCTACAATTTCTTCTCTATTACCTGCTGACAATCCCCAGTCATTAATGAGCGAGCCTCTTTGCCCTCCTCGGGACAAAGACACATACACGCAGAAAGGTTTAGCTTTCTGATGCCAGCGACGGGGGAATATTCCACTGGTAACGTTGGCTTTTCCGTTCAGGATTAGAGTGGTTAAAGCAAAATATTTATAATGAGTATAAATTCGTTCCGCAAACAGAGGATTTCAAAGGCGGCTCTGTTTCCTTTCTCCTTCCACCGCCATGCTATTCACTCGGGTTCATTAGTCATGATTTTCAGGGCCCACTTGGCTGCCACCTTCCTGCAGCCAGGCCATGTTGGGTAAGAAAGGCCGCTGGCCGTTGCCACCTCACACCTGCTTTTTCCACGCCGATCCGGGTCAGCTTTTGTGAATTCACTCGTGGACTCTGGGGCACATCCTGTGAATGAGTGGTGGGCCCCTTACAGAGCTGATCATTGTGAGCGCCTGTTCTGACAGCCACAGGGGAGACACAATGTCCACAGAGGACGCATTCTGCATCCTGTTGTTTTAAAACCTGGCTTATCATAAAAGAATGTTAAGCATACAGATTATTTTTTAAATGTATTTATTGATACGAGAAAGGAGAAAGAGAAAGAGACAGAGACAGAGAGAGAGACAGAGAGAGAGAGAAGAGAAGAGAAGAGAAGAGAAGAGAAGAGAAGAGAAGAGAAGAGAAGAGAAGAGAAGAGAAGAGAAGAGAAGAGAAGAGGCTTCTTGTCATTATTTATGCATTCATTGATTGGTTCTTGTATGTGCCCAGACCAGGATGGAACCCGCAATCTGGCGTCTTACCAGGACGATGCTCTAACCAGCCGAGCTACTGGGCTAGGGCCATAGTCTTCTTTATGAATGTACTCACAACCAATGAAAAAATAAAAATAAAAACCCACCATTTTTGTCCACGAGGTTGGGAAAGAAAAAAAGGGCACTCTTAACATGACATGCACGAGATACACGGGTCTGGTCACGTCAAGACTTGCGATAATCCGGTATCCCGTCTGACTCCAGGGAGGACCAGTCAGCTCTGCGACTTTCCATCCGCCCCCTCCCCTAACACAGCCCCCCGGCGCGGCGCAGACACCGACACGCAGGGGACCCAACACGCAGGCCGTGCGCGGCCACGATCGCACCCCAGCCCCGCAGCCCCCGAGCCCCCCGCAGCCCCCGCCCGCGGCGTCTGTACCCAGACCGTCTCAAAGCGCTTCACTAATCCAGCAGCGGCGGGGCCGGGGGCGCCCCGAGCTCCCCGGGCCTCCATTACATAAGATCTTTCCCAAAGTCTCTCCGCCGCTGGCTCCGAGCGGAAGATGGATTCGCATCCACTTTTACGGAGGCTCCGTGCATGGACTTCCCTCCCCCGGGCTTCCATCCGGACGGCGCCCCAGCCCCGGCTGCCGCGATCCCCTCGGCCCGGAGATGGGGGGGACCCCCCTCTCCCCGGAAACACAAAACTGGCCCCGGAGGTCTCGCCCTCGGGGCTCCGGGGAAGGCCACGCTGCAGGCGGGCGGGCGCTCAGGACGCGCGACTCTCCCGCTGCTCAGCCGGAGCGCCCCGAACCCCGAGCCGCTGCGCCCGCGGAAACCAACGGCGCGCCCAGGCTCGGCCTCCAGGCCGGCTCGGTCCCGGGCTCCCGGAGGAGGAGGAGGAGGAGGAGGAGGGGAGGAGGGGGAAGAGGAGGAGGAGGAGGAGGAGGAAAAGGGGGAGGAGGAGGAGAAGGGGAAGAAGGAGGAGGAGGAGGAGGGGAGGAGGAGAGGGAGGAGGGGGAGGAGGAGAAGGAGGAGGAGGGGGAGGGGGAGGAGGGGGAGGAGAGGGGGGAGGCGTGCGCGGGAGGAGGGGCGGCGGGGAGGGGGCGGGGCCGGCGGCGGGGGCGGGGCGGCCAATGAGCGGCGCGCGGCGCGGGGGGGCGCGGGCGGGGGCGGCGCAGCGCGCGCGGCGGAGGCTCAGCCATAAACAAGCGCCGGAGCCGCGGCGCGGAGTGAGCGGAGCGGGGCGCGCAGCCGACACCAGCCTTCCGCCGCCGCCGCCGCTCCTGCTCCGGCCGCCCGCCCGCCCGCCCGCCCGCCCGGGGGCTGCGCCGCCGCCGCCGCGGAGGAGGAGCAGGAGGAGGAGGAGGCGCCGCCGGCCGGGGCTGGAGCGCAGCGCAGCCGCCGCCGCCAGAAGTTTGGGTTGAACCGGAGCTGCTCCGAGAGGAAACTTTTTTCTTTTTTCTTTTCCCCCCTCCCTCCCGCGAGGAGGCGGCGGCGGCGGCGGAGGAGGAGGAGGGGAAGCCACCGCCGGCGCCAAGGCTCGTGGGCTCGGGTCGGCGCGGCCCGCTCGGGCGGCGGGGGGCCCCGGAGACCCCGAGGCGGCGGGGACCGCGGCGGCGGGCGCCCCGCGGGGGAGGCTCCGGGCCCGGCCGCGGCGGCGGCGGCGGCGCGGGAGGATGTGCCTGGCGGCGGGGCGCGGGGGGCTGGCCGGCCGCGGGCGCCTCCCGGCGCGGCTGCTGGGGCCGCCGCTGCTGCTGCTGCTGCTGCTGCTGGCGCGGCCCGGCGCCCGCGCGCTCGTCTGCCTGCCCTGCGACGACTCCAAGTGCGAGGAGCCGCGCAGCTGCCCGGGCAGCATCGTGCAGGGCGTGTGCGGCTGCTGCTACATGTGCGCCCGCCAGCGCAACGAGAGCTGCGGCGGCGCCTTCGGGCTGCACGGCGCCTGCGACCGCGGGCTGCGCTGTGTCATCCGCCCGCCGCTGCACGGCGACTCCATCACCGAGTACGAAGTGGGCGTCTGCGAAGGTAGGGCCCGCGCCACGGTCCTCTTTCCCCCCCCGCCCCCCCCCCCCGGCCGGCGCCGCGCGAAGTTTGGCCGGGACTTGGCGGAGGGAGGACTCCGCGGGGGAAGGGGCGGCCCCCGCGCCCCTCCGTTCCCGCTCGGTGCCCCCCTCCCAGCCCCTCGCGATCGGCCTGCAGCGGGAGGTTGGATTTTGTGGGTGGAGGCCTGGGAGTGTGTGTGTGTGTGTGTGTGTGTGTGTGCAGGGGGTCTCCCTCCGGCCGTGCACAGACCCGCACGCGTGTGGAGGTCCGGCCCGGCGGTGGGCGGTGGGGGTGCCGCGGGCAGGGCCGTCGCGGAGGCTGCCGTCGCGGGCCCCTGGGGAAGCGGGTCCCCGTCGCCCTCCCCGCGGTAGCGCAGCGTGGACATCGGGGCGCGGAGGAGCCGGGTCTCCATCTCTCTCCCTGCGACTCGCTCATTCCTCCCCCCTGGCGCTCTGCCTTCACCCCCGTCCTCCTCCTCCTCCCCCCCGCTCCTCCCTCTCCTCCCCCTCCTCCCTCTCCTCCTCCCCTCCTCCTCCGCATATAAATCAGCTCGGCCCGGGGGAAGTTACGCACGGCGGCTACTCCTGTATTTATTTGCCCATTGGAAACGGCCGCGGGCTCTCAGCTGGGGGGAGGGAAGGAGAGGGGAGGGGAGGGGAGGGGGTAAGGAGGAGGGGTGCTCGCATCGGGGAGCGAAAAGTTGTGGCCGTGAAGTGGCCGCCGTTGGAGATGAGACATCCATCTGTCTGCGTGTTTCCTCCCGCGCCGCCGGTGTCCCTTTTTGTTGGACCGCGAGGGTGGCTCCCCTCGGAGCGCGGGGCGCGGAGGCTCTGATGGAGGGAGAGGGAGGTGAGGTTCACGGAGCCTCTCCCCCCTCCCCTTCCCCCCGAGAGAACCGCTGCCGGAGGGTGTGGGCCTGCCTGGGCCTCGGGTGCCTGGGCCGGGCCGGGGTGGAGGCGGAGGGAGGCAGCGAGTTCTTTTTATTTGGCCGATGGGCCGGACGCGGGAGCACCAGTTGCCAGTGGGATGACGTTGGGGTGATGATGCTGTGCTGGGGCGTCCTAGTGTGGGAGCAGAGGAGCGGCTGGGCGAGGGGGAGGGACAGGGGCCCTCGGTCCCCCATCCTCCACCCCACCCCACCCCACCCCTGTCCCTTCCTTACTGCTCACAGCCAGCACCTACAAAGCAGAACAGGAAGGAGGATTTTTATTATATTTTTTCCCCTGAAGCGTCCTTAAGTAATGTATGTGTTGGTTGTGCTGGATTCTAGAAAGAGGGTAGCCACCTTAGGGGTTTGATGGGTGTATTAAAAAGCTACAATTCTGCGGTTCCCTTTACACACACAGATGTGCATGGTCCCTTATCCGTGCTGTTTTTAGATTTGGACGGGAACACCTGGGCGGTCTTTCTGGAAGCTTAGTGGGCAGGGAGTGGAGGGAGCATTCTCAGAAGGGCCGGGCACTGCCCCCTGAAGACTGGGTTAGAAGAGTTCATTTGCCTGAAATGCAAACGCCCTTCACCTGGTGTTTAGTCCCGTATTGTGTGCGGTGTGTGTGTGTGTGTGTGTGTGTGCCTGCCTCATCAGGAAAACCCGCCAGGAGATGAACTTCTGGTACAGTTTTCTGTGTTTGACGTGGGTAATCCTCGAGGACTTGGACTAAAAGATGCATCTTTGCGCCCTGCCGCTCGGATTGCCCCATTGACCGCAGCCAGCCCCTCATCAATCCAGAGCGAACAGGCGGCGCGAATCGGGGTCAAAGGCAGCGGAACAGCTGGGCTCTGAGAGGCCTTGAGGGGTTCTGAAGGTTTCTCCCTTGTTTCCTTCCTCCGTGATGTGTGTCGGGTGGAGGCAATCTGGTGATTACTCCCAGGGAGCGGTAACCAAGTGCTTTGGCAACAGTAGCACCGCATCACAGTGTGTAGCTACTTTGGCAGTTGGCTGGTGAGCCTTTCATTCCTCTGAAATGATGCGACCCCTCATCGCTTCCTTTCTCCTGGGCACGCCCCGTGCACGTGGTGGCAGCCTGGACACCGGTGCTGCCACAATTAGACTTGAATTCCTGTTTCCTGGCATCACTTTTCTTTCAGCAGGCCTGCTTTCAGCTACCAAACTGGTGTGCCCAGGGCACTTATTTATTTTATCTTATTTTATTTTATTTTATTTTTTAGAATTCTAAAAGCAGCAGTCAAGCTACATTCTGAACCCATGAAACCAAAGTCAGAAGGAAGGACAGTGTTTAAACAGACATTTTCAAAGGTGTATCTACCATTTCCAGCATTTTCCCTTTACTTACAAGACTTATGGAAAAAGATAGCTTAAGCAAGTAACCTTTTTTCTTTTTTAGAATTAGAGGAGTCTTTTACACTAATTATTTAGAAGGTGCCGACGTTCTCTTGTTTTTCTGTTCCTTGGCAAGGAACTTCTCAATGGCCAGTGTTTCCCTCAGTTTCCATTTTTTACCCAGAGAGCCATGCACTGAAATACGATGATCATAACTTACATGAGTAGGAATTGATATATTTTATTCATGTTGAAGTCTCTTTTGCTGCAATTTTTGCACTAAAATGACCCCTACTGGTTGTATCTGTTAATGAAAACTCTTGGAAAAACTTCTTTAATTGGCTCCGCTGAGAAAACATATTGCATGGTATAGAAATATTATCATGACTGACCTACCTGCTTTGGCGACATCATTTAAATATAAATTAAATAAAATTGCTCTGTTGGCCAACTTGCAGTAATTTCTGTGTTACTTCCCATACTGGTTTTGTGTGTGCGGGATCATATTGTTAACCGCAGCTCAGGGAGTGAGTGAGACCAAGCAATGCCGAAATGGACCCCTTCCAGCTTGTGGCTCAGTGCCTTAGGTTTGAAGGCACCCTGGGCCACACCGCAGGCTCTCCGTAAGCATGCACTGGGCAAATGAACAGTCCTCTCTGCAAAAAGACTGAAGAAAAACACATTTTCTGAAAGGTTAAATAACGTGAAGAATTGGGTCCGGTGGCTCACAGGATATGGACGCTCAAACTTATGGGGGCATAATTTAGATTGCTATTAAGTGTATCCTCATTAAATTATTAATTAAAAAAAAAGTTTTAGGATCATTGCGTTTTAAAAATTGAGCCTAGAACCAGACACCTATGATTTTTTCTCTTGCTTTCTCTCAGTCTAAAAAGTGAGTGCTGCCCCAGCCGGTTTGGCTTAGTGGATAGAGCACTGACCCGCAGACTGAAGGGTCTGGAGTTCTGTTCCAGTCCAGGGCACATGCCCAGGTTGCAGCTCGACCCCAGTATGGAGGGGGGTGTGCAGAAGGTAGCCAGTCAGTGATTCTCTCATCATTGATATTTCTTTCTCTCCCTCTCCCTTCCTCTCTGAAATCAACAAAAACATATTAAATTAAATTAAAAAATAAAAGGAATGCTAGCCTCGGGGAAGACCCAACTCTCTCCGGTTTCCAGTCATTTGGCGAGTCTTCCTGTGCCCTTGGCAACGTCCTAAGTGGCCGGTTTCTTGGCTGGGCTACCTGCCTGCAGGTAAATCGCCAGGAAGCTGGAGAAACAGGTTTGCATTCTGAACTCTGGAGCTGGAAGTCTGGATGGTAGACCTCCTCGGGAGATTTAAGACAGACAGAGTGTTGAAAAGCGACTGCAGGGGGATTTCCTAGGAAGACTGCTCTGGACAGTGAGGACTCTATGCTGAGATAAGGGGCGAGGACCATGTTTTTCCCTCCTGCTGTGGAATAGTGCGTCTGCTTCGGTGAGGGCTGCAGAGCGGTGCCAGGAGCGTCTTCCCCCTCAGCGATGAAGGGCAGACGATGGCTCGCCTTGGCCGGTGTGTGGACGGAGTGACGCGGAAGCTTGTTGAGCGGCTTTGCCCCAGGAACTTGGCTGTGTTAGATCCAGGTGATCGCATTTGGGCACCAACTTTCTTTCCCGTGGTTCTGTCCTCCTTTATGGAACTTGAGTATTTTCACCATTCCTGTCTAAAAACCGCCTCCTTTTACTTCCCCACGTTCCTTCCTTCTCTCCACTTTTCAGAGGGCAGCGAGAACACAAGAACCAAGGCTGTGTTCCGGGTACCTACAGCACAGAACAGACTGGGTCTCTGATGATACTTGCCATAACGTGTTTCGTTTTCTCCCTCCCAAGCCTTCAGTTAGCTTGAGCTTCGCCCTGCCTGAGAGAGAAGCAAGCAGAGGGCCCATAAAAAACGCATTCATAGGGTATGGGAAGAGAAACTCATGCAAGTAAACAAGGAAATAATTAGTTCCTCCCAAAGTAAATATTGACAAAACACAGAGAGACCATTCGGTGCACATACACAGATGACAGGACTTTCTGACCTTCCCTTGGACTCTCAAGCTTCAGAGCCCTCCCCGCTGGCTTTGAGGAGTCAGGTCACAAAAAAAAAAAAAAAAAAAAACACTTGGCAGAGAAACCGCCCAGGACCCGACAGGCAACACCAGCAAGTCTAGAGACGTTTGCAGCCATGAACACATATGTAACAGTGACCAGGAAGGCCTACCGGGGTCCACAGCAGCATGTTGGCAGTGAGTGCCGCTGCAAACGGACAGGTTAACTTAGGAAGAAAACTGTTGTGAACAGTGCTTCACGATGGGCGGGATGCCCAGGGGTAGGCGGTGTTTCACGGTTTGGTGCGGGTTTCTGTGTTCTGTGGGGACTTATTAGCATGCCGTGTTCTGCACGAACAAGGGGCTAGCTGGAGGGGAGACCGGCATTGAGAAGTTGGGAGAAGTAGATAAAACAGATGACCCTGAGAAGATAACGGAGTGGGAGGACTAAAGAATGACAAATGGGAGAAGGGAAAAAAAAATATTGAATTCATCTTAGGGCAACTATGTCATCCTTTGAAGAATAATCCAAGACACATTCCAGACATTTAATTGTGAAATTCCTGAAAAATGTGGGTGTGCCTAACGTCTCTCAGGCTACGGCACTGACATGAGAGATGGCAGTGCTGC